ATCTCGAAACGCTGATTTCCAATTTGTCTAGTACAGCGGAATGATCTTGTGGAGCAATTTGACATCTTTGTGGTAATACTAGGCTGTTGCATAAGTTCTGTCCGATTTGAATTTTTGAGTTTAAAATGTCATAACTTCTTTCAGAGTCAACTTTTTTCCAAGGTCTTAGTTTCTATGTGTTGAGCAGTCCCTTGGCTAAAAAATGCATATTGAGATCTGCGCAAATCTTTGTTAAGGAAGAACCAAGAATGCAAAAACTTCGCAGCGTTTTTCTTCGAATCTGTCTTTTTTGACATGGTAACGCTCCCTTATGAAAATTGATAGGCATCTTTTCTAATAATGGATGGATAGAGAAATTTTCGTAGATTATTATGCAACATAAAAGAGCCCATAGGGTTTGCGCTGCCGAGAGATTTTCTTGACCGAACAAAAAATTAGCCACTTTTTGACCTCGCTTCAGCACATGTGTGCATGCCTATTTATGAACTACGAACGTTTTACAACTGACGTGAGCGCCGAAAAGGAATTGGTGGATGGGCCCTGTTAGCTCTTGCTTTCCCCTAGCACCTCCAACTTTGAGCTTGTCGATTACTTCTATTCGCAGAAAGTTATTGCTTGTAAAACATCTATACCAAAGATTTATGTTCGAGGATAAATTTCACTAGCAAGACGTATTCTTCATGGGACCGAACTCCTGCATATACTAGCATTCCATACCCTTATTCCGAAGCCAATGAAAGAACCTGACTTGAAGGGCGCATTGTGGAGATATCCTCGCAAGGACATATTTCTAGGGATAGAACGTACCTCGGCCACTTAGAGATTTTAGGCCTGTGATCTCCGTACACTAAGAATTTTATTGAATTCTGGTATGCTTTAGAAAGCGCAAGGAAAGCACTTTTCAATGATACCAACCGTATCGAATTAGAGATGAAATTCTCTTAGAACAGCTGCTTCAAACATGAGGCAAAAAAATCGGACAGAACTTATGCAACAGCCTAGTATATCTTAGCTGATTGATCGTTCAATATTACTTTCATAATTAACACTCCATTGTTTTATCGGAAGTACCGGAACTAACTGATAAAGGTTTTCGTAGACGAAAAGCAAGAAAATGTAGCACTGGTAATCTGACCCATCAGCGCAATGCACCCTGGAACGGCCATAGCTCCGTTCAACAAAATACAAAGCAGACATAGAACACAGTTTTGCAATAATTATATTTTGAAGGCGCATCATTGAAACCATGCCTCTCATAAATAGCCACGGCCACTCGATATCCATCCATTTTTATTTGGTTCGTTAGTCCAAAGCAGCATGTTTTTCATCAGACTCTCCGTGAAAAAGTGACTCCTAGGCCACTCATGCGTAGTTCTTTTGCGATGTGTAAATGCTCGTGAAGTAAGGCATTGAATTTTTCGAATTCCTAATTGAGTGGGTACTCCATACTCGGTCATATTTCGTTCGAGGAATTTTCATTTTGACTATACGCCACGTCTGTGTGGTCACGATCTAGAAGATCTTGCTCGTGATTGACGTAGCTTTTTATCATCTTTTAGAAGTTTGATTTTTGAACGTTTTCCAGAAAAGTGTTTTTTGACTGGCTACCGTTAATTTTAGCTGCTTCCAAAAATTCTTTCAAAAACCTGTAACAAAGTTCGAATAGCGCGCAATAAAGTTAATCCAATATATAGTTTTAAATCTTTTAGACTCTCTGGTGTCGTTTTCGGTGTTTTCGGAATGGTTGTTATTAAGAAGCTAAGAGCTTTCAGCACCTAGTCAGCTCATGGTTGCACCCAATGCTTTGATAAAGTTTGACCATACCAATTAAAAGTTCAGCAATTGTAAGGTGGAAGCTGTGATTTGGAAAGTACGTTCAGAGACAGAAGTGCACAGAAGTACTATCTTAATTACAAAATGTCAGCACTTCTGAATCATTTTGCGAAATCGCTGAGAGCCGATGAAGAAAGTTGTAAAAAGGCTCTTGTCCTAATAAGTTTGCTCACTCCGTTCGTTACTGAGACTCCTGCAGAGGCTGATAAGTACTTTCCTGAGGGATGTAGCGTTCGTTCAATGAATCCGAAATTGTTGTCATTTGATGTAACATATACCATGCTAAACCACCTTTCAATATCATACAATACCGCTCACAGAATGTGCAAAATTTCCGTAAATGTCGCGAAATTCCGGAAAGTTCGCGGAAATTTCGGAATTTCGCGACATTCACGGAAATTTTGCACGTTATGAGAGTGGTATTGTAATTGACAGCCGAGGTGCGAGATTTGCTAATTACAGTGCGAGAGTGACCGCATATCACCGCGACTAGCGCTGATGGGCAAATGCTATGAAGTCATTTTTATGCAACTTTGTGAGCTCTTTCTTTCTATGATAAAATCGGGATTTGAACTCTTTCATAAGCGAGGGTTTATAAGAAAGCCAATGTACATTTTTATGCATATCTTTGTGTAAAATGGGAACGAAGTGTCCGGATACCCGTATTTGTGTTTATATTCGAAGGGGTTATACCAAAAAATTTACAGAAGAAATGGATGTTAAATACACAAGAGGCTGATCTAAGAACGGTTCTGCACTTAGAAATTTTTCGGAAAACTTTATGATAGATCAAAATGAAATGATAATTCCAGGAGAATAATCAAGGCGCTGGCATAGCAATATTTCGATACAACTTTTGATGCGCTATCAGCTGATGAAAGAAATTGGACAGCAGCATGAATGTGAAGGGGCGCTGCCCTATAGTATCTGGAGATAGTTTTTCTTAATTTGATCTTTGATCTCTATGTATAAATCGGTCAGAAGTGGTTCATTGGTGGTTATTGGCGGGTTAGTGGCCCAGGCATGGATGGGTTGGAATGGGAAGGTGGGGGAAAAGTGGGTGGAGACTTGGGTGTGGGCGGGGCCAAAAGTGGGCGGAGCTAGCAAATTTCGAAAAAATCGACATTTCTCTAAAATCTATCCACCGTAGTCCTACAGAAAGAAGCTATCTCGCTAATCAGATGTGTTTTTTGTAATCAATGGGTCGGATAACATCTATGGTTTGATTTTCTAAGGAACTAGTAGCACTTGAATTTTTCTCGCTCCTCACTCTTGGCCTCGGCGCAAGATTTGGTTCAAAATATTAGGTTCTCGGATTGACCGGAAACCTCGCTCATAGTGGTTTTTGGTCCCGATCTTTACGAAAATCCTATTTATTTTGCACTAGAGAGTCTTACAGTAAAGCTAAAGTGAGATAGAAGTAGCTAAACCAATCAAGATCGCAACTTCGCCTGCACTTTTCGCCTACCTGTTGCGGAAATTGTCCGCAAATTTTTGTGAGTACAAAACTTTGTGAACACCTCTATCGGACCATGCTTAGCACAGATCTTTATTTGAATTGTTCGTCAGATTATGATGTTACAAAATCGCCTTCTCATGAATTGTCTTTCAAATTCGAAAGTCGTGTTGGCAGATATTCTATCCTACAATGTGTCACTAGCAGCAAAACAATGTAAGAAATGTTGTTAGCACGTCGAATACAATACCGCTCACAGAATGTGCAAAATTTCCGTAAATGTCGCGAAATTCCGAAAATGTCGCGAAATTCCGAAAATTCCGCGAAATTTCCGGAATTTCGCGAAACTTCGCGACATTCCCGGAATTTCGCGAAATTCCGGAAAGTTCGCGGAAATTTCGGAATTTCGCGACATTCACGGAAATTTTGCACGTTATGGGAGTGGTATTGTAGTGTGGCCTAAATTGCCGGTATTGAAATCCTACCATGGTAAAATATCTTTTTCCAGTTTGATATGTCACCCTCAGCGCAGATCAGCAGCAGAAACAGCTTTGTTGACTGTGCAAACAATATTTAGAAATTGCTGTAGTTCAAAGATAGAATTGTTCGGCTCAAGAGCTTTTTTGAAAATGTCTGCAACCAGCTGCGGGCACAATACAACAAAGTGTGATCATTTAGAGAAACTCGTAAAATTCCTACATTAGCTGCAAGGCACGCATTCAACAAATTGGATTCAACTCTTCTATCTGCTCATAGGTGCAGAAATCCAGAAAAAGCTGGTTTTGTGTAAGGAGGCATCTGTCTTTTTCTTTATTTCAAAGTGAAGACTCTCTATGTTTGAATGTGTAGCTGAAGCGATGCGATGATGGAGTATTTGGAACAAAATTATTACTATCTTCGTCCGTTCTGACGCCTTGGGCCTGCTTTTCTCCAAGGCGTAATTTTGAAAGGACAATTGTGGTGCGAGTACAAATATTTTGGTTCATTTACTCTAAATTGCCTTATCTGTGTTGCAGTGTCATTAGTGAAATATTGGGTGGAAAGCATTACAGCCTCATAATTTGTGCACAAAGAAGTGAACTGTTGAAACTAGCATACTGAAGCACCAAATTCATAAATTTAGCTAATCAGTCGAGCCACATTTGCGCTTCAAAAATAAGTATGCGTGCGACAACCCGTATACGGTACTTAGTTGAGAGTTAGTGAAAACAAGTTTTAGTAGGTAAGCTGTAAAATAAGTACTCTTGGCCTGTTTACTGGTTATATCTAGCGAACTTTCATGCGTTTCCCAGCATGTGCATAAATAGCACTTGTATATCGAGTGATTGTAGACATTTGACGCCAAAGCTGGCTCGGCAGTTCTAAAGTCGAATTTTCATGGATTTTCTTTCTGGCTTTTATACACTTCATCCAAGTTTTTAATCAAAGGTTCCACTCAATCTGAGAATTATGGCCAATGTTTGAGAGTAAGTGAAAACAGTATGTCAAGTGTGCTCTTTCTACGACTCGAAGGCATTTTGCTTACAACCAGATACATTACTGGAGTTGAAGCCGAGTTTCTCTGCCACACCTATTCACTCATAAGTAGGTCATCGATAGAACCTCAACAGCTTCAGTTTCGTCCACATGTTTACTGAAGCTGCTCTATATTCTTCTCATTATTCGTTTTTGTTTGCTAACAAGAATCTCGAGTAATTTTGTCAACCAAGTATTTCAGGATGAGCGGCCAGGTAAAGGCCGAATATGATTTCGAAGCTCAGCCAAATTCTGGTGAGATGAGCATCACTGCCGGAGAAATACTTACCGTTATACGAAGGGTGAGTGATGATTTGATACTTCAATATGCAGCTATCATGGTCAGGGTTCGGCACGAGGTGGCTTTTCGAAAATGCAAAGAACGAAGTTCCTCTGGTTCGCAAAATTTTAGGAAGTTTTGTTTGACCCTTATCCCAATCATCCGAGTCTACTAGAAAACGAAAAGTTGACTGAAAAAAAAACCTATTGTCGGATTCAAAAAAAACGATATCCCATTTGCTTTTTGTCCCAAGAACGATATCCAGCTTGCTTATAAGCAAGCCACTGTGCCGAGCCCTGATTATGAATGAATCCGAAGTTATATGCTCTTGTGATTTTTTCTCAAAATCAAAGCGCCAGAGAGATGACATAAGACGCTTTCCTTGAATGATAGTGAAGAAAATGTTACTCTTGATTCACAAGGGGGCAGGGAGGACAGAAACAAATTTTTTAACCGTGGATTTACGGGTAAAGAAAAATGCGCTGTAATCTACTAGTCAACCATTTTGCATTTTCAAACAGAGACTGAAGAATTAATGCCATGTAAAAAAATTTTGAGCATCTTTTGCTAGAATCCACATCTGCATCTTTCTATAGTACGCAAACCAAAATGTGTCACTTGTTTCAAACCTTGTCAGGGATATTCATAAATTTTTGGATGTACCAAGAATGCACTAGCTTTAGCTATTCTTTTGACATAGATGACAGATATGTGGTAATTGCTCTTGTTACTTTAGAACATCGAAGGCGGATGGATGGAAGGAAGCAATTCTAAAGGACAAATTGGATTATTTCCCGAATCCTACGTTGCGCCATACTATGGAGCACCGCCACCGATCCCACCGGTGGGTAAATTAGATCGTTGCAGAGAAGAGCTAAAATAGCTTATAGCCATCACAGTGAACCAATTTCATTTCTGCTGAGAAGGTAGAGCTTTGAAAGGGGAGCTTAATACTGCTTTGCCATGTCAAGTTGATTCGACAGCTGAGTGATGGATGTCAAATAATATTCGCAAAAAGGCCAGCTCCACTTTGATGAAAGCTATCGCTGTTTGGTTTTTTACAATGCGTCCGAATAAAGTAAACAACACGATTCGTACAGATACATTCTTATGTTCGTAACTGTGAACTGTCGACACAAAACCTGCTGTCAAACCAGCTAGTGTAGACATTTCTCAGTGAAGAAAAGAAGGATTCTATAATTTTGAAATCCAGGGCACGGACTTGTGAATCTCAGAAGTGATATCTGGTCCACTCCCCTCTATGTAGTTTCTACCTGAACTTTACATTTTCTATTACTATTCTTGGATAAATCGGTCAGCATGTTCGCAAACAGTTTTTTGTGTGGTCAAACAACGTAGGAGTTGTCGATATTGCAGTATATAGTTAGTTTAATGTTATTCAGTGGCAGTAAGGTTAAGCAAAAGGATATGAGGCATATGCGTCATGAAAAGCAATTGTTGATGTTAGGTACCAAAAAATCATCTTTTTCTTGGCTACCTCGCTGTGGTCAGAGATTCCTTCGCTTTTTCAGCAAATTTAGTTTTGGCTCTAAGCCTGCTGGCCACCATACTAGCAGATCAGCTACAGCTAGCATACGAGAAAACATCAGAGTTACAAATTGTTTATTCTCTAGAGAACTTCCGTATTGAGTCGCCATAAAACAAAGAAAGATAATACTGAGCATTCTCTGAAAAAAAAAGGAAAGGGGCAGGAAAAAGCATGGCAACACAGTTATTGTTGAGACCAAGAAAAACGACCCTAAACTCCCAATGAATGATATATCTCTTCTACAAACCAATAACGGTGAAAATTACTGTATTCCAGTCAGTTCCAACATGGGAAACCCAGAAATCCTCTTGCAAGTACTGCCTATAAGGGATGAGTGATTATTACTTTACACTGTCGTCAGCGATGAATGATGTGTCTCTGACTGAACTGATGGTGTTGAGGGGAGAAGTTGCTGATATTGTCGTATACTTAGGTGACATTGTTTTGGCAAATATCTGACTTGAGCAAACCATGTTCTTGTCATAGCCAGCGGAACTAAATGCTGAGTAATAGCTCGTGTGTGTGAGCCTGTTCGTTATTTTAACTAACCGAGCCAATTCGGTTGTGCTTCCCAGTTTCCACTGCAACCCCCAGGGAGTCGGGCCTGATAAGCTTGAAACAATTTCGAGAACGCTTTGCACACCACAGCAATCTCGTCCACCCCCCGCAAGCGCCCACACCGTCACGCCCATCACGTCCTATAATCAGATTCGCCTCTGGAAAGGAAGACAGAGAGTTCATTATCGGCGACTTTCGGAGCTCTACAAGTTTTTCTTCGCTTTTAAAAGTGTTTTTTCTCAGGTCAAGAGGGGGGTGACGCCATTTCTTGAAATAAATTGAAAAAGCGCAACGGTACTAAAAATCATTGGCTTATCGTATCCTCAAGGAGTGGCATGGGAATCTACTAAGTATCTACTATGCTTCTTTGATCCATTTATTTCTTCTTTTCAGTGACAGCTTTGATGTTCTCCCCCCTCCCCTCCCCACCTCGAGTCCCCGAAAATCCTTTTTGGAGTTTTGATCCAAGTACTTTAGCAATATATTTGTGAACTCCTATCATGAATTTCTGCAGGAATTTTTGCTTTTTTGCCGCCTCACCTTTGCCAAAAATTTTCCAGTACTACAACAATCTTAAATAGTAGCTTTTATGTAAGTTTTTCTAGCTTTCGCCATATTTTAGGCGTGGTAATGTGTTTGTTTCTACTCAAAGTTTTGTCCTAGTGGTACTCATATTTCAGACTTTATAACTCTTTTTCACTTTCCTGGATTTCTTTTGCCAACTCGTGCCTCTTATGATCTTTCTGCTGAATCTGTTCTTCGAAGGTAAAAAAGACCTTGGTATTCTTTAGATGTGGAGAATATTCTTGCAAATGGTGAAGTTTTGACTTGTAAGTGCGTTCAACACCAAAGCGTCGATTCAGACGCCTTTCAAATATTCATTAGTGCTCAAATTTGAAACTCCCTCTTTTGCACTCTTGTCCAGTGCGAGTGCCTTTTGAATTTTTCAGTCTGCCAGCACTGGGTTTTGCTCGAAGCCTCTTTCTATAAAATGTCCACTTTCGTTAGAACGCGCACATTCTTCGACCATATCTCCCCAGAGGTTAACGTTAGTGCTGTAAATCTACATCGACAAACCGCTCATTTCTGAGTATTCATGGAAGTTTCGAGACGGCTTACATGTTTCTTGTTCTTCTGATTGGTATCTCCAAAGCAAGTGTATGGCTTGAAATATAGTGGAGCAGTTTTTTATAGTTAGCGTATGAGTGCAGGGGAATGAACGGAAATTGGATGGAAATTATAGATTTCAAACTCATATTTATTGCATGTTTCCCGATTGATCTTTTTGCATTCTTTCTCATATTGCATGCCCCTTCCAAGTACTGAAAGAAGCTTACATGGAATAGTCTTTTGTGTAACGACTAAACGTCAGTAATTTATAATCACAATCTTCAGTTGCTATCTTCAGTGGGCTTGCATATCCCTCAAGGTTCCTTTTGACTTGCAAAAAATTTGTTATCTCACCCCATGAAATTATCCCTCCACGGCATTTTTGAAAGATCTGAGTGGACTATTATTTTATGTCAGGTTACGCAGTGCGGGGATTGGGATACCTACCAAATAGGCACATATTCAGAAACCGTCAAAGTTACCAAAATCCGATTCGCAACGTGACCTTTGTCAGCAAATCAGTGCTTTTGAGCAGCTTGAAAATGAAAATACCGTTGATAGGCTTTTCGCCTCCACTAACTACTGATTTACTGTTGAGCATATACAGAGTGTCCAAAAAATGTGCACACCTGTTTGATTTTGAATAACTATCTTCTCTGATTCTTTAGCCTTTCTGTAGAACTGGTCTCAACTTAGTTTTACAGTATGGAGCGACCATGTGTTTGTTACTGCAAGATTACGGTAAGAACTTCCAGTACACAGAAATATTGTGAAATATGCTATTCGATAGAAAAATTTCCTAAAAATCTGGAAACTGTGTAGCAGGGTTACCAGGAATGCTGATTTCACTACACAAATTTTTACGATTTTTTGGCTTTTTTGTTGGTGTACACATTCTTTGATATTGGAAAAACAGTTCTTATCGTTTACCTGAAATAACTTAGGAAAAAACTTTTGGAGTGCAAATCTTGTACCCAAACAGCAACCTTGAAGAATTTTTGGCTTGTTTGGTTTCCTATATGAGGTAAAATATGGCTCACAATGAGCTGAAATTCCCATCAAATTTCTTGTCGAATTTTACGGTAATGAAGAGTGATTGGTGATTTGCTCCGTACACTAGATGTAAATTGAGCCAACTATCTGGATGTTATCTAAAGACCGGCGAATGACATGATTGCAAGACAAGTTATTAGCTATCAAACATCGTGTACATTTTTTGGGACACCCTGATAATGAATAAAATCAAGAAAACGAATTGAGGCCCCCTTTTCGAAAGATTCACATCCTGCTCTTAACGAAGACCGAATTTCACGCGCAGTAGATGTGTTGAGTGCAATCGCAGAATCAGTTTTCGGAGCAGCCTGACTGTACTCTACTCCATGGGTGATTTTAGTGTTTACTACTCCGCCGGTAGTGAGTTTCTCGAAACAAATAGACAATTTGTGCGCAGCCAAATTCACTTATTGCAGTTCATTTCCCCATACGCTTAAATGTGATTTGTTTCTTCAACGTTTACGTAGATGCAGTGCAGACGATGTTGTCTATTTTTCGCCTAGCGATCATGTGAGCTTTATGGGACGAGATTTGATTCCTGATCATCCGTCAAGTACTTGTCCTAAAGCTTTGAAGTGCAAATAGCTGTGAAGTTTCAACAGCTCGCCGAAATTTGGTTTAGATTCTCAAGGCACAACTTCAGTAGGAGAGGCGAAGAGTTAATTAAAATGTGGAGCCTCAAATGTCATTTCGATGTATAAGTTCTTTTTTCGCTTACGAGGGAAATGAGCTTCAAAGTAAAAACTCGAAAAATGCAGTCTGCTTTGAATGAGGTATTTGCCAAAGCATGCTTATGAGGATTGGCAAGTACTTGTTTTCTTGGTTTCTTCATCTTACTTGTTTATGACTAGCTTCTGTTATATTTACTTTCAAATTCAACTACTTTATTCCTCTTCATTTATCCATGCGATTTTGGTCTCCTCACAATACAAGCAATGCACTTCTCTAGCCAACAAAAAATACTAAACTATCTCGAACATGAAAGTTTCCGAAAAGTCACGCGCATCTTGCAAGTTACCTGAAAAGGAACCATTGAGTTGGAGCTTGACTTTTGCACTAAATTGTGTCAAAACCACAGTAAGTTACATTTTACCCCAAATAGGTGTTGAGGTATACCAATGCTAGAGCAAAGTAAGCTCTACAAGGTGTTCATAGGTTTTTATGCATCAACTTTGATCCAGGCAGAATTTGAGGGAAGACTACAAGGATCAAAATACCAAATCGAGGGAAAACTGGAACTCCATACAAGAAATTTTCATGAAAATCCAAACTTGCCCAGGCATAATTATGTATGTAAGGTTGGAGCGAAAGTTCGTTTGCACCATTTTCAAAAAAATCGTAACATCTTTCTATTCATTGATACTGCTACTATTAGATAGTTTTAGAAAGAGTAAACCTTGCATCTCCAAAACAGCCCTTGTAGGCTCCCTATTTGGTTCTAATTGAGAAATAAAAAGGAAGGAATAAGATCTAAATTTTAGCCATGAGCAAGCCCACTGAAAATGTCAGCATCAATTATTGAAATTCAAAATAATTGGTATTGTATAGTGTGTACTCCGGTTCCCATAAGTGCC